AGATAAGTGTTAATTAGATATTTTAGACGAAGATGACCAATGATCATTTATTTTAGACAAAGATAAGCAACTATTTTAGACACTACGGCTGAATTGTCAGAACGCAGTCTAAATTCGGTAGTTTAAACCCCAGTTCCGCGGTTTACGTAAACCCGGTCTAAACGAAAAACTAGTCTTCGTTGCTCGAACGTGGTTTTNTTGTTTAGCTCTAAATGACTGCGAATAAGTGCAAATTTTAAAATTATTGTTAGGAAGTCAGCCGTGTTTGGAAGATTTTACCTTTAACGCAGAAAAAGACACCGGTGTTTCATGTTGTATTTCATAATCATCAATTATTAAAATGCTAAATATAATATGTTTCACTTATTTTGATCTATATTAATACAAAATAAGGAAAAATATGTGAAAAATATGTTTTATAAAAATTTTGTGTAAAAGGGATAAATGTGCGATCTGTGCTTCCTTTAATTTTTTAGATTAATACTAAAAAAGGGGAATTTTTTTTAAAGAAATTAAAAGTGAAAAGTTAAAATATATAAATAAATCTTTATGCTTAATAAAAGAAACATATAATGATAATAAAATTAAAGCAATAATAATTTGCTTCATTGCACGGTCATCGTACCTGCATAAGCGTGAAGGACATCAACTCAGCATTTTTATCCAAAAGTTTTCATGGTTGCGTATGGTAGAACGCAATCACTTATAAATGAAATGGACATAGTCTGAGTCTGTGCTCGAACCTAGCAGTGACAGAATTTTTTTTAAAAACTATATTTTTAGATAAGCAATGATTACGTACCTTAGACAAAAATAAGCGATTATTATATATTTTCGACAAAGATGAGGGATGATTATATATTTTAGACTAAGATAAGCGATGATTATATATTTCAGACAAACATAAACGATGATTATATATTTTAGACAAACATAAACGATGATTAGATATTTTAAACAAAGGTAAATGATGATCAGATATTTTAAACAAAGATAAGCGTTAATTAGATATTTTAGACGAAGATGACCGATGATCATTTATTTTAGACAAAGATAAGCAACTATTTTAGACATTACATGACATATTTTGTGTAATATTTTTCCCTGTGGCAGCAAAATTTATGCTTAAATATTTGATTTTTCGTGGATTCGTGTAAAACTACCATACTGCATGGGAATGAAATTTCCGGAAAAAAACCCAATAATTTTGGCTAATAAAACCAAAATGTACGGTACTTAATCTATTCATTTGGTAATTTTTTTTCGCATGTGGGAACGGTTTATCGGAAATTCTGTTTTTCAAATTTATAGTTCGTATTATCCCACATTTACTAAAAAATTCAAAGCTGAAAAGTAAATTTAACCGAATAAATGGTTTTTATACCCTGCTCTAAGGTATCGTGTTAAAATTATGAAATTTTACCACATGTTATAAAACCATATTTTTTGTTAACTTTAACAAAATCATTAGTAAAGCTCTTCGATAAAAACTACTGAGTTTTTTGTGTTCCCATTGAGCCAGAAACACGGTACATTTTACCATATTTCGGTAATTTAGACCATACTTTTTTCTCAGTGCATGTAATACTGCACAAATACTGTCTGAAGATATTTCGTTAATTAGTTCTTATATAACTCAGTTTTTTTTTCTATAAAGAAAACATTAAAAAAAGAATATTTTAGTCTCCTTCCAAATAATTAAAAAAATAGATAAATAAAGAGGCGTGAACTACATTGAAATTTAAAATTAAATTATTGATTTTGCGTAACTTAAATTCTCATTATTTAGAAGCTTTTATATTGCATAATCCTCCAATTACTATGAAGTGATGAGAATGTCAGCTTAATACGAGTTTCTCCGCAATGCTTGCTCTTCCTTTCTCTCTACCTCTCTCGCGTCAATTTGAGTTGTGTTGGATATAAATGAATAATAATTCAATGATATAAATGAACTCAAAATAAAATGACTGTGTTTTACCTATGAATACGATGCAAGCCCTTTCCAGTTCCATGATTTTACTTTTGACAAGGGCTTGCAAACAGATTTCTTTAAATCAAGCAGGAGGTCTTAAGATTTATCTTTGGAATACGTAAAGTATTGTAAAATTTCCGTTAAAAGTACTCATCATCCTACATAATATCTCAACTTTTTTGTATTACATACAGTCTTATTATAGACATAATTTTTTCCTGAACAGAGATTGCAGGAAAACTGAATAAATAATTAATAATTTGTTTCTATGATAAATTTAGGAATAGCTAATTGATTTTATTACTTAGTAATGATAATTTGATTGTAGTATATTGATTTTATTATTTAGTTTTTAATAATTTGATTGAAGTTCATTAAATTTATTATTTAGTAATTGATAATTGGATTGCAGTTTATTGTTTCTATTATCTAGTAATTCATAATTTGAGTGTATGTTATTGGTTTTATTATTTAGTACCTAATAATGTGATTGTAGTCTTTTCATTTTATTATATAGTTATTAATAATTCGATTATAGTTTATTGATTTTATTATTTAGTAATTGATAATTTGAGTTTAGTTAATTGGTTTTATTATTCAGTAATAAATAATTTGATTCTAGGAAGGATTTTACTTTGACAAGACCTTGCAAACAGATTCGTTTAAATTAAGCATGAGGTCCTGAGATTTATCATTGGAATAGGCAAAGTATTATAATATTTTTCATTAAAAGTACTGATCTTCCTTCGTAATATCTCAACTTTTTCTTGTATTTCATTTAGTCTTTTTAGAGATATAATTTTTTTCTGAATAAAGATTGTTGGAAAATTCAATGAGTATTTAATAAGCGAAATTTTATTTTTTAGAAATCATTTAGTTATGATTAAGCTCGTATTAATGATTATATTAATTCATCAAATGATTAAGTTCATATATTAGACTATAATGTACGTGTTTTAACAACAAAAAAAATTAATATTTTATAATTTTTATTACACTTAAGATTTTATTGTACCATTTTCTGAAAGTACTTCTTTCTATTTTTAATATAAAAAATTCCTACCTTAATTGCAATGGCGCTAGCGTCATCAGTAAACTAAGAAACTAAATCTCTAAATTTAAGACGAAAGTCTGAATAAATTTTATTTAATTTTCTCAAAGAAAAATTTTAATGCCAAAAAAGTCATACCCTATCATAAAAGGAGTCTTTAAAATATTTTTTTAGACCCTTTTAAATGAAAGGGACTGGGAAAATTCCATTATTTTTTCCACACACATTCTTTTGGTGGAGAGTTCTTTTTACTTTTCGAAGTAAATTTTCAAAACCTACTTGATTAATAGAAGAATAATGGTAGCAAGCAGGATTTAAAACATTAACTCTCTTAAAAGTTTCAGAATAGATAATAGTGGTAAGTAATATCTCGTTGAAAAAAATATAAACGCGCCAAAACCAGTTAGTTCTTATAATAGTCATTTTCATTTTGTACGCTATTCCCATAAATACTTGATTTGATCTACACTTAAACACCCTCGTTTAAAAACATAACCCTAATTTGAATTTTCTATGCAAATAAGGAATTTTTATCACCTTAAACTAATTTGAGCATTATTTAGTTATCTTGATGAAAAAAGTCATGAAGAGTTTATGTTTTATTTATTTAAAATTAAATGCATGTTGGCAAGGAAAACAATTTTCCTATCGAATGGTACGAGAAAACATTATAAATATATTCAGAAACATGAATTTCAAGTAAATAATAATAATAAAAAAAGCATAGTTTGTGTTACTCTTTAATTTGTAGATGAAATGAAATAAAATACAAACAGCATATTAAATTAAAACACGGTAAAAAGGTTGTACCTTTACATTTTTGATGGGTTAGATCAGAATGGTTCACATTCAGTTGAGAACGAGATGTCGTGTGCTCGATTTTGATGGGACGTTTAATGGGAAAAGTTGATTCGGCCGAAACTCGTGTCTTGTGTACTGAAGACCGAAAGATGTATGTATAGTTTGTCTAAAGCAAGAACTCCCCTAGCCATTCATCAGGACCCGTGTCGGTGACTATGGTAACGGGGTGTAACTATTTCAAGTAGCTGTGTAGGGTCACTGTTTGGGACAGGTTTTGGCTAGGGTCGGTGAGATAAAGAGAATCTTTTTCTTCGGTCTATTGTGGATAAGCCCTAGGATGAAGAGAAGGCACCCTCCCTGAAATGTGCTATTCTTGTTTCCATAGCAGCAGACGGAATCAGATTTTGTGACAGGGGGAGTTCTTACCGTAGACAAACTATAGCAATTTTAACCACTGACTGAAATCTTCTTGTTTTGGACTTAGTCTCTCATTTTCCTTCCTGTTTCAGACTTTATTGGCTAAATCAATACAAGGGTCTGCTGGGTATGACAAAAATATAAGATACCACCGGCATCTTCAAATGGAAAACACCAAAACCATTCCTTTCGTTAAAAATAAATCAATGAATGAATAAATAAATAAAAAGTGCTAGTGCATGAGGAGGGAAGAATCCTGATGTGCTATTAAAATTGTGGCAACATCTGCATAAGATATCCTTTTATACATTTTTTGCTTATTTTTCAAAACTTCTATGCAAAAATAAATTAATAAGAAAGTAACAAATAAATGAATGATAAACCTTTCTGTTTTTAAAGATTAAATAATTATTTTAAGGAATAATTCCATTTAAGTTATTACTCAGGGGCTGGAGTTTGCCCCCCAGAGCATTTTATTTCAATTGATTTAAAGAATTTTGTAATGTATTATCTGAAGAAAAAAAAACGTTTATTAGTTTTTTTTCTTCTTAAATATTGAATATTATTAAATCTCACAAATAAAAAACTTTACTGTACATTATTTGTTTTAAATGAGGTCAAAATTAGAAAACTAAGATAAAGGTTTAGGGTCTTAAGATGATGATATTGAATTCTGATAAAATACTTTTAATAGAAAAAAAAGTAATTTTCTTTCTAGTTTAAGAAAAATTGCATAAATATTTACATTTCTATACATACCTTGAATGTAAAGTAAAGTCCAAAATACAGAGATTCCAATATCTTCTATAATTGGAGACCACCGGTGTATTTCACTCTGGTTTCCTAATTTTAAATCCAATAATGATGAAGAGTTTTCTGATTTAGTTGTGGCTTTAACACCATATTTTAATGCAGTATCGATGAGAAAAATTGGTGGAACCCTCAAGGCAATATCCACTAGTGTCCAAACTTTCAATTTCAAAGACATTGCCGTTTAGTAATCGTTCTCATGGATTCTTAATCTTAAATGAAACAACAGACCGTAACGCAAAGAAGAAGGAATAGAGAAGGTTGCCACAAAACGTCGTGCCTGTCGAAATTTCTTCACCAATTGAGAAAAATACCTGTTGCATGATTCTTACCTGCGCCACGCTTGACCTAGGAAGGAAGCCGACTTTGAAGAAGAAAAAGTTACACGATATACAGTTTTCTCTTTCAAATCTCTTGCATTTTTCATTGAGTATCGTATATGGCCACTTAGAATACTATTTTAAAACTCTTTCTCGATTGTTTAACGTTTTCCTTCTGGTCTTTCATAATAGACGCGATATTATGTATAAAAAGGGATATTATAAAATAAAGAGGCGAAATGACAAAATGAATTAGAAATAATGCATTAATTCGTTCACATCTATATTTTTATGTTATAAAAATGCTATGCTATGATTTTGTTTCAGTTTTTCAACTTTAGTCTGGGTAAAATTGAAATATTTGAAATTTTCCAATTTGATTGCCTATCTATTATCTATCTGTCTATCTATAAGTCCATCGATCTGTTTCTATCTATCTATCTATCCATCTATATATAGATATTTTCCTAGAATTTTCTTTTTAAGTTGGAGGACTTAAATATTTTTTCAGTAATTTTTTAAAAAAAACCAGTTGTTAAAAAAGTGTTTTATTATTATTATTATTATTATCCTACTAATCTATATTCTGATTATGCAATTTATCATTATATCTCTTGGTAGGTCTCTTACATTCTTACTTTTTTCCAATGTTGACTGCGGTAATTGGTAAAATTTTTTTAAATTCGCTTATTTTGAAGTGAAATAAATCGGTGATAAGCCCCATGGTAATCTCTCCTATTACCTTGAGGACACTAGAATCTATAACTCAATGTAGTTTTAAATTAAAAACTGTTCCTTAAATTAAGGAATCTGCTTCTATTTTCCTTGAATGTTATAGCTACTTCTGGCTCTTGCTCCAAAAACTGCAAATTAACTAACTGAAATTTCATTAACTTGGGCAGAATTTTTTCACTTTTATGCAGTTGTCTAATTATAAATGAATAAGAATGTGTGGCTATAATTTTTTTAAATTATGTTAAATCAGTTTTTAGCAAAAGTGCCTTTTCAAATTTCCTTTTTTCTGTATACAGGACGTTTCGTAATCATTACCCTTAATAAATATTTAAGAAATTTTTTTTCATTTAGTATGAAGTAAAGTCATGCATATTAGGAGGACGCAAGTCATTATATAAGTGAGCAAGAAATTAAAACGCTATAGAAATCTGTTGAATCATTTGAGGGGAACGCGGGAAAGCTACTTCGATTGCCTGATGAACATTTTGTATAAAGCATTGAAATATCCAAAAACAGGTAAAATTGCTTTTCGTTCTTCAATGAATCTGAAATAATCTGCACCAGGTATTTTCAACGAACTTAAACATTGAATTCATTTGTGGTAAACATAAACTATTAATATTGTTTCAATGGGTCAGTTCCGCGACACGGAGCTTTTGCAGTCCGCTCCAAGCTGTTCTGATGATGTCGTTCGAAAACAGACTAAGAAGTTAAATCGGTTTTTATCGGTAAAGAGTAGGGTTATTCCTTCCTTCTCTTTTTGTTATAAATAAAAGATTCTATGTAGAATTTAAATGTTTTGAAGACAAGCTTTTAATTTTAATACAAAATATTTTCCACCTTTGCACCGACAATATTTTTTTGTTAAATTTTAATCAAAACAAAAATTTATATAAAATATACATTTTGAAATTGAGAATTTGATTGGAGTATTTAAAGTAGGACGATTTAACTACGTTTAGTAGGAATGTTCCTTAAATTTGTAAAAAATTGTGAATTTTATTCTTTAAGATTTTAAACTTTTTTTATTGTAATCAAACTCTTTGATGGAAGTATTTAAAATATTGATAAAATAATTGTTATTAAAAAGAATAATCAAGTCCCGTGAAAATTATGAATTGAATCAATCGAAAAATGAACAAGATTAACAATATAATTTAAAGATTGTTAATCTTGTTGATTTTTCGATCAACAGTTAACTGTTAAATAATAAACTTCTCAAAAGTTAAAGAAATTTGGAGTGGGTTCCAAAGCTCCGTGTTGCGGAAATGTTTGAATAAACATAAATATAATTGAAGCAGCTAGTAAAAGCCTGTTATTAACGTTTTATAAAGTGGATGTGACATAAATTGTGTTCAAATGCGAAGTTATGCATGGAATTTAATATACTTTAGACTCGATATTCCTTTTTTCCAAAAAGATTTCATATGTAAGCTCTATGGTGCTCTAAAAAATCTTAACTGGTTGCTGTGTAAAAATCACAGTAAAATAAAAAAATTATCATATTTTAGCAAAAATTAATACTATAATATTTTACTTATATTTTGTAATCTGCAAACTTGTCACGAAATCAATTTTGAAAAATGCTTGTATGTGCAAATACATGTGAATTTGCTACTCGCTTTATATATTACATTTTGAATTTTATTCTGTAATTCTTTTTTCAGTTTTTATAGTCTATTTTTGCTTGATTGCCTTTTTTAATTTTATTTTACAATTTTTGTTTAATAAGTTCCATTTTCGCTTCAATTTGTTTCGGTGCTCCTCACACTATTGTATTGTTTTTTATTGAACACTATTGTTACACTATTGTTTGTATTGAATATTGCCTCCACCTAGTCGCATAGTTAGTATGTACTACTATTTTTAGCATAGTATGTTTACATACAATATGCCAATTATTTGGTGTAAATGATCGGCATACTATTACTTGTTGAGAGAAATTTTCACATTTTTAAGCCAGTCGTTTTTTACTTAGTTTTAAAAGTTTATTTAGTGTTGTATTTGTTAGTAGTGATATGCATGCATATAATTTCTTTTGCGTTCAAGTTTCATTTTACAACAGAAAATTCGATTAAATTTTACGAAGCATTATTTAAAATGTTCATGATTTTTCAATAATTTTGCATATATGTTGTACTACTCCTATTCAAAGTCAGAAACGTAAATTAATAATTTAAGTGGAAGTTATGTAATATATCTAGGATTAAATATATTTTTTGCGTGTATTCGATCTTATTGGGAAATATATAAGGAGAGAAAATTTAAATACACACCTGGAAAACTTCAAATTTTTTTTCGAGTAAATGATTTTCTCTTTATTATTTTCGATATAATAACTTAATAAAAAAAAGTATGTGTATGAAATGATTTGATTCCATTCTTCTTTCCCGTAAGCTCCTTAAAATACCAACATTTTAAAGATAAGATGATTCCTCGAAGAACTCATCTTCCTGAACTGGTTCAATTAGTTGCGGATATAGCGGGTCAAGGTTAAACCAAAAAGAGTGACTGACTTTTGGTATCAGCCCGTTTATAATTCTTACCTTGTTTTGCCCCATGCCATTGGAAGGAATAATTCGATAAAATTCAGCTGCATGCTTCTGATTAAATTAAAATCTACGCTTTTTACCCATGAACAAGAGAAAAAAATGTTTTTCAGTGATGATGTTAAAAAAAAAATTAAAAAAAGGAGAAATTTTTTACGGAGAATTCTGTTTCAACTCCATTGGTATTTTAAAATTTAAAGAAAAGTGACTCTGTAAAAAATTCCGAATCAAATTATGGTAAAAAGTACCGACACTCAGAAAGCAGTTACTTTTTACCGTAAAATCCATTTTTACCGGAACATGTTACTGAACAAAAAATCTGATATACCGTGATTTTAACAGTACCGTAAAATCACAGAATTATTCTAATTAAATAAATGTAACTGTAAAAATTACGGTATAATATTTTACGGTAAAAATGAATTTTACGGATAATGCACCCAGTATTTTATAACGTAATTTGATCCGGAATTTCTTACAGTGTTGAGTGAACCACGAAAATTCAAATGCTGTGAAAATATTTTCAAAATATCATATTGCCAACAAATCAATTTAAGATTACTACCAAACTGCGTAATTCGTATAATCTTGACACAATTTGTTTGCGTTTTCATATTTTGAAAAATCAATCAGCATTTCAGACTTCATGGTTTACTTTAGGTTTTCCTGAATTTACTTTTTCTACATTTTAAATTTCAAATTACTTATGCAGGTGAAAGAGAATTTACCACAAATAGTTTATTCTGTGATAACATGTAGCGTCCTTTTAACCACATTTCATCTCTACACTGAATTACTCTAATTAAATGAATATCCTTGTAAAAATTACAGTTCATTATTTTACGGTAAAAGTGGATTTTATGAATGATACATCCAAAGTACCGGTACTTTATAAAATAATTTAATCTGGATTTTTTTACAGTGCATCCTCAGAAATTAAAAAAAAAACGTTGAAATTTGAAAGTTTCTGATTATTTTTGACATCCACGCAGAAAAATAAATTACAATTTTCGTTGATTATTTGTAAGAATCTATGTTATTTGAGTATCGTCTTTGTACGATATTCCTTATACGATATTTTAAAAGATTATCTATTTAATTAGAATTAGGAATAGTTATTATAATAGGTTTTTTCGGTTTTTCATGAAATGGCTGAAGGAGAATATTAAATTGATAACAAGCATGGGAGGTTTAACCAGGCTCAAATCTGTCGTGAAATCTCTCTTTATAATAAAACTTTCATAATGCGATAAAATGTTAATGAAGTTATGTGGTTTTTAAAATTACCAGAAGTTGAATTAAAATTTAAAACAATATCCTGATAGATTTTCATAATTTGTAAATGATTTTTCAATGCTTCTCTTTTTTATAGAGAAAATTAACCATATTATTTTTTAAAAATATAGAGTATATTTTACCTTTTTCGCCATTGTCAATTTTTCCGGAGTTGATTTTGGCAGGCTACTATCTCCTAAAGTTGATGGAGAACACTTAATTTCTTCAGGGACAAAAAAAAATTAACAGTTCATGGAGAATTTTTTTTTAAATAAAAGTCACACGCATTATGTTTCTAACTGCACTTGGTTACCAAATCTCTAAATTTGAACCTCTTTTCCCATTTATTTTAAGTTCAAAACACTTAATGCTGAATAAATAAAAGTCATAAAGTGTTTGTGAAAATGGTTCTTTAAAATTTACTCCATTATGTGGAACGGGA